ACAGTATTAAGAATTTTTCTGGGCCTAACAGGCCATAGTGGTGACAGCACTGAACTCCCACATGGCTGACCATGGTTTGAATCCCGAACCTGGTGGCCTGAAACTCACGCTGGGCACATATGCGTGCATGCCCAAAATCCCAAGAGGAAAATGGGGAAGAGATTGCGGTGTCGCCATCCCTCCTGGGGGCTGATTTCTTGCTGTCTCTCTGGCAAGTGCTCTCACCTCATAGCAAAAAATCTCTCAAAATTTTTTTCTTTGTTGTTTATATTTAGAAAATGTCATAATCTAAGTAGAGAAACTAAACTTTGAAGGACTATTGAAGGTGGGATAAGGTAATAAATGTCTCCTTTTTTTTTTTTTGGAGAGGTTTTATTTTTTTTCACTATAGTGCGTGTGCACTTGCCAGATAGACAGAGACATAGAGACAGAAAGCGAGAAATCACCCCCCAGGGGGGATGGTCATGCCACAATCCCTTCTCCTCCATTCTCCTCTCGGGATCTTGGGCACGCATGCACATGCGCCCGGCGTGAGTTTTAAGCCACCAGGTCCGGGACGCAAACCGCGGTTGACTACGTGGGAGTCCAGCGACATAGCCATTACGCTAACTGCTGGTTCCCAGTAATAAATGTCTCCTGACATCGGCATGTTTGGTGGGCTGTCAACATCATATGATTTAGTGTTGCTTTTTTTTTCTCTTTAGGTTTTTGTCATAGGATGTATGCACTCAGTGGAGAGAGACAGAGAGATGGAAGAGTGGGAATCCACCCCCCTGGGGGGATGGCCACGCTACAGTCTCTTCTCCTCCATCTTCCTCTCAGGATTTTTGGGCACGCACACACATGTGCCTGACAAGATTTTCAAGCTGCCAGGTCCAGGATTCAGACCACGTCAGCCATGTGGGAGTCCAGTACCTTAACCACCACTCCACCTGCTGGCCCAGTGTTGCCGCTTAATAATAACCTTCATTGTGTGACTATAATAGCCATTGCTTTTTTTCCCTGAAGAATTACTTACTTTATTTTTTTTTATTGTTATTAGCATTTTAACTTGCTATAGGGCATGCCACTCACCAGAGAGAGAGAGATGGAAAGTGAGAAAGCAAGCCACCAGATCTGGGACTTGAACTGTGATCTGCCATGTGGGAGTTCAGCGCCTTAATCACCACGCCACCTGCTGACCCAGTGGCTGTTCTTCAACATTCATACAGAAGAGATCTTAAGCAACTATTTGTAATCCACTCCTTTCCTGTACTATGAAGTAGGAAAGTAATGAGCGCTGGCTGCTTTCCGCTCAAAAGGGAGCGAAATAGCGTAATCGGAGGCGCTTAATACGGAGATCCGCCTGGGGTGCGCGGAGTAAAGCAGCCAGAGCCCAGGCTGGGCCAGGGCTGGTAAGTGTGGGGGTGCCTGGCAGTTTGGGATGGGGGTAGGGGTGGGCCGTAGAGTCTAGGCGTGAGTCAGGTAGGCTGACGTGATGGTCCGTGCCACAGGGACGGCAGTCACATGCTGGTCTAGACTGCTGGGTGAGGAGCACCTAGTCCCCGGTTCTCAGGTGGGGTCGCCAGGGGAACGTCAGGCAGAGATGGTGGTGGCAGCGGCAGAGACCGACTGGGAGGACAGAAGGAGGTCACAAGCAGCTCCTTTGAATGTGTGTGCGTTTAGAGGGAGAGGCAGTAGCACCCAGGCCTCCATCCCATGAACAAGGGCGGCAGCTCGGCTTCTCCATAGGGGCATTCTGGAATTGGCCACCCAGCATTGCTCTGGCCTGTTCTGGGCCCCGGCCTTAGACATGGCGCCATGCATCCCACATCCAGGCCCACAGGCTGGAGGAGCAGGTTCTTGCCTCTTACGGGCCAGGGCTGGTCGCTTCATGGGGCGTGTGGGGTAGACTATACTGACAGACTGTGACATAAAGGCGGGTCCCATTCTCCTCAATCTGCTTCCTAAGAGCTGGAGGATAGGACCCTCTAGAACTCTCTCTGAAAGGATGGTCAGAATTATAATCGGTACACAGTGTTCTCTGAATTCAGCTTCCACCTGGGCTTGTTAGTTTCACCCTGTCACCAGCAGAGTGTATCAGGACTCCTCAGCCCTGACTCCGTCTCCAGCGCACAGTTGGTATCACCCGTGCCTGGAAACTGTAGGCTCTGAAGAAATGCCTCCCCGTTGGTAAAGAACGGGTAGATGACTTCACGCCTCTGGATTCATCGAAACGACTCACTGGAAAAGAGAGAGTACAGTTGCTCTGGCCTTAAATCCCGTGAACACGATTAATCAGTCACCTCGTCCCGTGCCCACAATACGTGGTTCCTGGGCGTATGGGTGTGGATATTTGACTTTGGATTTTTCCGTCCTGTGAAGTGGAAGTCTTTCCTGGCCTCTCCCGTCGCCTGGCCATGATAACTGAATGGCGCCCTCAGTAGCTAACCGCCCGTGGGGCCTCTCTGCAGCGTCTTCTGAGATGCGTGGAGGGGAGCGTGCGGCTCTTTCCCATCCCTTCTCACGTCCTGCATATATCACAGTGTTCCCGTGTTATCCCACACCCTGGACTATTATTACTATACAGTCGTCGGTATTGATGGACTGTCTGCTACGCGCTAAACACTGAATGTATATAACCCAGCGTAATCTTCACAACTGTCCCACGCCACTGGTAGAGAAGATCTTGTCCTGATTGTTCTCTTAATTTCCAGAGGGCATGTGTGCTCACCAGAGAGAGACAGAGAGAAAGAGGAGAGAGAGAAAGCACCCTCGATGGGGAATAGTCGTGCCACAATCTCTTCGCCCTTTCTCTGTCCTGCTGGGATGTGGGGCACGGACGCACACATGCCTGGTATGTTTCTTTCGAGCCTCCAGGCAAAGATGTGAATCACAGTCAGCCATGTGGGATTTGGCTCCTTTAATAACCACCAGGCTGGGCCACCAGGTGGCATGGTGGTTAAGGTGCTGGACTCCCACATGGCCGACTGTGGTTTGAGACCCAGACCTGGAGGCTTGCTTTCTCGTTTGTCTTCTCTGTCTCTCTCTGGTGATTGCACATGCCCTATAGCAAATTAATAATAATAAATACAATTAAATAAATAATTCTTAAAAAAAAACAAAAACAACCACTAGGCTACAGGACCAGCCCACTGTCTTGTCCTCATTTCAGGGAGGAGGAAGTAAAACTGTAGATGAAGTACAGACAGTGAGCCAGGAGCCAGGTGCTGAGCCTGGGAGGATTGCCTCATGGCTGATATTCTTAGTTCTCTTCTTTGTGCTCCTCAGATGACCAAGCTCAAGGTAGATATGGAGACAGGCTCAGAGAAATTCGTAGAATGTCTGGGACTGCTTCACCACCCAGGGGCAGGGCCAGGATTCCAATCAAGAAAGTTTGGTACCTGAAGACCCAGCTGGACAAGTTCTGTCCTTTATAAGATGGTGTTAACATGGGAAGGTGTCCTGCTCTGCAGGGGACAGGAACCGCAGCAGGTGGGCATCGCGATGCCAGGCCAGCGCTCTGAGAGCGTCTCCTTCCTGCTGTCCCTCTGGTGCTTGGTGTGCTGCCAGGCAGACACAGCCCTTGAGCTAACCTTGTGAGCAAGACCCTGGTGCCAGACGGTGGACGTTGGATGTACTGACTGGCCGTCTCCGAGGGCTGCTTAGTCCATTCGATTGTTCAGGACAGAGCAGCTCACAGTGAATGAAGCGTCGGCTATAGAAGGCCAGGGCTGGAGAGAGGTGTCTTAGTCGAGGGTGTAGAACACACACAAACACCGTGGTCATTCGGGGGCGTGGTGGTTAAGAGGGCTGGATCCCACCTGGCCAAGTGCACTGTTCATGTCCCAGCAGATTGAAAAACACACTAGGTGTTTGTGTGTGTGTACCCAACATCCCGAGGGGAGGAGGGATTGTGATGTAGTGCTATACCCCTGGGAGTGATTTCTCACTTTCCTTCTCTTTGTCTCTCTGTCTTTCTCTGGTGAGTGCAGACACCTATGGAAAAAACAAAATGTATACAAACACTGAGTTATTAGGGTTCCCACCCGAAAAAGCTACTGCGGCACTGGGCGGAAGATGATAAGGTGGTGCAAATGGACTTCGAACAGTGCATGGAAATGGGTATTGTGTATGGATTTAAACGTGTCTTGTACCAAAACAAACTCATACTTTAATTCCAGTTTCATGAACTTTTTAATGGGAGCAAAGGTTTATTCAGCTCCTGGTTTGGGAGGCCCACGGGGCCGCATCAGGCGAGGGTCTTGCTGGCGGGCTCTCCGCAGAGCTCCCAGGGGGCGCGGAGCATCGCGGACGAGAGGGCAAGAGCCAGCACGTTTGTGTCCGAGCCTGCTGGGACCTTCGCCCGCTTAGCGACCCACAGGAATTCAGTCATGGGGCCCCACCTGATGACGTTATCTACCTAATATCCTCCCCAAAGCCTCACCTTTCTTTTTTCTTTTTTTTGCCATAGGGCACATGTGCTCACCAGAAAGAGAGACAGAGAGAGAGAGGAAGTGAGAAATCCCCCCAACTCCCCCACCCCTACGAGGGATGGCCAAACTGCCCCTTCTCCATTCTCCTCTCGGGATCTTGGGCACGCACGCACATGTGCCCAGTGTGATTTCCAAGCTGCCAGGTCTAGGACTTGAACCATGGAGTAGGTATGTGGGATCCAGGACCTTAACTTCCACACCACCTGCTGGCCCATAGCTAGATTAAGTTTCTACCCTCTTGATCCTGCCAAAAGGGTAGTTAAGTTTGGGGGCACACGTTTAAACCATAGCACTATATTACCTGAAACTACCTTGCCTTTCACCTCCTAAGTGAGATTGGGACTTGGTTTATTCCACTGATCAAATGTTGCTTTGTCCCTAAGACATACGCGCCCTCACCCCGTGTGCGGTTGTCCCTTTCTTCCGGGAGGAAAGCGGGCGATCGGTGGCGATGCTGTGAGTAAGTGACCAGCTTTCCCGAAACCCGTGTGTATCGTAACCACCTCTGGCCTTTCCCACCCGCAGCTGTGCACGTCGGACACTCTGTGGGAGCAGATAGTCCAGTCGGCCTGTGACACCATCACTCCCGACATGAGGGCCCTGGCGCAGGACATGGGCTGGAGACAGATGTTCTTCACCAATAAGCTCCAGCTGCAGCGGCAGCTTCGCAAGAGGAAACAAAAACAGGGAAGCCAGAACGACCTGTAGGACACGTGGCTGCGGCTCTCCTCAGCGTCCCGACCTCTCTTAAGAATGAAGAGGTCTTGCTGATTCAAGGAGCCATTCGAAAAGCATCGAGGATTTGCACACAAAGGCAGCAGAATGCGGCTCCCCAGTGCCTTGTTCGAACCACCATTCCCGTCACGCTGAGGGTCAAATGGTGGCCCACGTACAAAGGCTGCAAGGCAGGAAGCCCCAGCTCGATGCCTTCGCCACTCCAGCCTGCACAGGGAAAGGGCCTCTGCTGTATACACACAATAAATCCTTATTAGCGGTTTTATCTAGGTGTTCTAAAGAGTCACAGAGCTTTTGACTTTTGTTTTTTAGAATTACTTATTTCATTTTACTTATTATTTTTATACTTGCTGTAGTCATCAGAAAGAGACAGACAGAAAGTAAGAAAGCAAGCCACCAGGTCCGGGACTCCATCTGTGGTCGGCCGTGTGGGAGTCCAGCACCCTAACTACCACACCGTTTGCTGCTGGCCCCAAGCTTTTGACTTTTGGCCTGAGTTCACCATGGAGTAGGTAGCTGAGTGTCCCCGCCAGAAGCAGCGAGGAGCAGTGGCTCTCGGAGGCACCTGGCGTGGGTGCAGCTGCCTGGCCGTCTTTGTTCTGCTAAGGTTGCAGTCAGGGCCCCGATGCTGCAGGCCCAGGACACCAGGCCCCATCGGCCCACCAGCCCTGGCCTGGGCGTGGCTGGAGACGGCCGGGCGTTCTGCTTGTTGACCTCACTCAGTACAGCTCTTAGTATACTTCTTAGAGGGCTGCTGCTTCCCCCAAGGAATGCAGCCAGCTGCACTTTACCACAGGGGTGTTTAAGGACACAGGCACTGGGGCCAGCAGATGGTGTAACGGTCACGTCACTGGACTCCCACGCAGTCGATCATGGTTTGAGTCCCAGACCCAGCAGTTTAAAACTCACACCAGGCACATGTGCGTGCATGTGTGCTCAAGATCCTGAGAGGAAAATGGAGGAGAAAGGATTGTGGTGTGGCCATCCCACCCAGGGGTTGATTTCTCACTTTCTGTCTCTGGCAAGCCCCTGCACCCTATAATAAAAATCTCTTCAAAAAAACAAAACAAGACAAAACAAAACAAAACAAAAACAACAAAAAAAGAAAAAGAACACAGATGCTGAGTACAGGGTACATTCTCTTAACATGGCACAGGTCAAAGTGATATGTTTGAGGGGAGAAAGTTCTGTCTCACTCAAGAAAGGTTATTTCTTTATTTTTAATTTGCCAGGGAGCCCATGTGCTCGTCAGAGAGAGATGGACAAGGGAGAAGCATCCCCCTGTGGGGCATGGTTACACGCCAGTCCCCCCTCCTCCACTCCTCTACCCTGGAGGGATCTGGGGCACGCACATGGGCCCGGCATACGGTTCAAGCTGGAGGGGTCAGGGTTTGAAGCGTTTGGTTGGCCACGTGGGATCTGGGCGTCTTAAACAGTAGGCTGGGTGGCCTGCCCCAAGAAGGGTTCTTTTAAAATTGTTTTCTTTCTGCCCTTCTAGGATAATTCAGTACCCCCAGATAATGAACTCATATGCACGTAATTTAATGTCTCTTTAGTTATAGACAAAGTCGCTTTCTCTCTCCACATCACCTCTTTAACCTCATTTCTGCTTCCCTGAAACCTCCACTTTACTAGATAGGAAAAATGGCACACTCCCTGGGCCAGAGAACCCCGGAGGTGGGTGGGCCCTCCAAAGAGAAGCAATGGCCTTCTCACCGAAGGCCTTCCGGAACGGCTCATTTCAAGAAAGGTCAGGTTTTCTTTCTTTCTTTTTTCTTTTTTTAAATACTAAACCTGAGTTAATATTAACCAGATGTTACCCTGATTCACAAACTCTTTTTTAAATGATTATTTTATTCTATTTTATTTATTCATTTATTTTAATTTGACTAGAGACACAGAGAGAGGAAAGTGAGAAAGCAAGCCACCAGGTACAGGACTTGAACCATGGTTGGCCATGTGGGAGTGTCCGGTGCCTCAACCACCATGCCACCTGCAGGTCCCCCATCCACACACTCTTACAACTCATTCACCTTGCTCCCCAGCGCCAGCTTGACACCCTCGCCCCAGCCCTCTCAGCTTCCCATACTGGAGGGCCCCGCGGGCGTCATGAATGGAGCGCATCAGCTTGCTGGCAGATGGGAGCCTGTCGAATTTGTGTTTGGGTTTAGTTCAAGCACGAGCAAAGGTTGAACTGTTGAGAGACCTAGGCCTCATTGCCTTCCTGGGAGGGTCAGCAGGGAGGGTGCAGGACACCCGGTAGGCAGCTCCTGCCACCTTGTCTCTACTTAAATTCTAGACCTCACACATGGCCTTTACTGCGGTGAGAGTGTACAACACAACCACAGCTTGGCATGTCGACGTGACTATGTGAATGTAGGATTACAATGTGTTTGTAGCATCGGTGCAAAATGCCAAAAGCTTAAAGGTTCAGGTGTAGGGTTTCACTGACTATCTGAGACTCTGAACATGTATGATAATTTAGATTTGACATGAACCAACGAGAACACAAATATGGTCCTTTAAAAACACTTCCTATATACATCTACCCAAGGAGTCCTCAAAAAGCTCACATATGGTGCACATTATGAAAAAACTATGCATGGATCTAAAATTGGGACTTTTGGGGGGTACCAAAATAAACTCATACTTTAACTCCATTTTCCACAAACTCTGAAGCCCTCTCATATATCTATAATATATATTACATACACAGTATATATATATATATATATGGCATATAAAAACATATAAAATAAGATGTAATAGTATAGGAATAAATGCTAAGGTTAAAAAAAAAAGGATTTAATAAAGAAAAAATAAAAAAACCAAAAAAGGTGGGGGCCGGCAGGTGGCGTGATAGTTAAAGGCACTGAATTTCAACATGGCCGACTGTGGTTCAAGTTCTGGATTTGGTGGCTTTCTTTCTCACTTTCACTTTTTCTCTCTCTTTGGTCAAATTAAAAAAATAATGGTAACAAATGGAATTAATAAATAAATAATTCTTTAAGAGAAGTTGTCGTATATTGACTATTGTTAGAGTTGAATTATTTCAGCAATCACTTGCCATAATTATGTGAGTGCCTTATTACTTGACTATGATTATTTTTGCTAAAATGGAAATGGTATTAGCCAACTAACATTCTGTATGTCACCAGCATCCTTTAGGGGCTGAAACATGTTGCTCTCCTCTCCCCATCCTGACTTCCCACGTGAAGTCTCGCGTGATAGTGTCATCGATGTTGACAGGCATTGATGGCCTTGCCTTTGTGCCTCGATGAACAACTTTCACATGGACAGATCAATCTGCTTTGTTTGTGGCATAACATTTCAGAGTGAAATGCCACAGCATTTTATAACCTTGCCCTTTTTCATCTTCTCAGTCCAATGTGGTTCTACTCTAATAATTTACCATCATAATTATAAAAGTAAAATTCTGGTATTTACTGATGACTTATATATTTAGTATCAGAAGAATGATTTATTAATAGCAAATGCCAATATGAATAAACTAAGAAAATAAATATATATTTTACTTAATGTCAACTGCTACTGCTTTTTTTCTGAGCAGATTGGTAAGGTACGTACATTAAACCTCAGTATTATAGAATCCAGGAAGTTTTATTTTATTGAGTAATCCCCAACCATGGCTGCCATTATTATGGAAAGGGACAGGAAGCAGAGTTAAAGACAACTCACTAGGTTAAGTTGTCATTGTTTTGCGAGTTCTTGTGTACACAATGGTCATGGTTCTCGTTTATTACCCAGACCAGCTCCTGCGATGCTGAAGAGCAATATACAGCCTAAAACACAGGCACCATAGTTTTGGGCTCTGAGCTCTGGTAGAATGACCTTCATCTTCAGTTTGGGTTAGGATAATGTGCTGTGAATACACTTTGAGAGTGTTTTCAAGCTTCTTAACTCTGAACAGTTGATTTCAACTTGAAATGGTGTCTTTGATTGGATGTTAAAAACATTGAGTTGAGAGGCTAGCAGGCGATGTGGTGGTTGAGGTGCTGGATTTCCACATGGCCAATTACAGTTTGAGTCCCAGACCTGGTGGCTTGCTTTCTCACTCTCTCTTTCTCTCTCTCTCTCTGTGTCTCACTCAAATCCAAGAAAAAGAAGAAAAATAAAATAAGTAATTCTAAAAACAAAACAAACAAAAAATTAAGTCAAGGGGCCAGCAGGTGGCGTGGTGGTTAAGGTGCTGGACTCTCACGTGGCCGACAGCAGTTTGAGTCCCAAACCTGGAGGCTTACCTTCTCCCCTCACCTCCCTCCCTGCCCCACAGTCTGGTGAGTGTGCGGGCCCTAAAACAAATTAAAATAATAATAATAATAAATAAAATTTAAAAAAATTGAGTCAACGAAAGTGCTATCACACTAAAGCAAATTGCATCTTTAGTTAAAAGCATAACAATATGGGGACCAGCAGCTAGCGTAATGGCTATGTTGCTGGACTCCCATGTAGTCGACCGCGGTTCAAGTCCCGGACCCGGTGGCTTAAACTCACGCCGGGCGCGTGTGCGTGCGTGCCCAAGATCCTGAGAGGAGAATGGAGGAGAAGGGATTGCGGTGTGGCCATCCCCCCTGGGGGGTGCTTTCCTGCTTTCTAACTCTCTGTCTCTCTCTGTCTGTCTGGCGAGCGCACGCGCCCTATAGCAAAAACCTCTCCAAAAAAAAAAAAAAAGCATAACAATATGGATTAAGTCATTGTACAAAGTAAAAATATCTTAGCTTCACCTGTATTTTGTTTTAGAGTGAGATCATTCACACACTGGGTAACATTCCTTGTGACATGGAACCCACAGGGTGGGAGTTACAGAGGACTGCCTGGTTCCTGCTTATCACGTTCTCTCAAACATAATCGTCTAGTTGGGAAAGTTATTTTCAATTGGGAAAGCTGTTCTGCTCATTCAAAATGTCTTAGAGCCATAGATCCATGGCCACAAACTGAGTTGTAATAACCTTAGAAAGAATAGTAACGAGATAATAATAGCAGCTCAGCCTCTTGTCTACTCTGTGCCGAGAATAAATAGGTAATAGCCAAGTTAATTCTGGGGTCAGTAGGTGGCGTGGTGGTCAAGGCACTGGACTCCCATATGGCTGACCTGGTGGCTTGCTTTCTCACTTTCTCTCTCTCTCTCTTTCTGTCTTTCTGGTGAGTGCATGTGTCCTATAGAAAATTTAAAAATAATAATAAATAAAATTAAACAGATAATTCTTTAAAAAATAACCAATTTATTTCTTACAGTAACACTTGGAAGTAATTGATATTTTTGTCTTATTTTTGAGAGGTTTACATACTATGGCATGGATCAAATCTGACCAGCCTTCTGTATATATAA